TAACTAAAGATTGATTTGAGCATCAAGGTCATTTTTATACCCCCAATAAAAATTCTGATGCATAGCCCTAACCGGTTTGGCTCAGTGGATAGAGCGTCGGCCTGCGAACTAAAGGGTCCTAGATTCGATTCCGGTGTAGGACATGTACCTTGGTTGTGGGCACATCCCCAGTGGGGAGTGTGCAGGAGGCAGCTGATCGATGTTTCTCTCTCATCGATGTTTCTAGCTCTCTATCCCTCTCCCTTCCTCTCTGTAAAAAATCAATAAAATATATATATTTTTTAAAATATGACGCATAAATGACTGGTCTTCAAGGGCTCAGGAATGGCTATTATCAATCTGAAAAACTAAGGAGTAAGTCATGTAGTCCTGAGTTGGGGGAACATAGCCGTAGGTAAGTACATCTAGAAATGAGGTGGTACACACAAGGAAAGTTTTCAGACAACTGAAGCTTCTTCCTTCCTGATACCAATGGTTTGTACAACACTGAAACTCTTCTCCAAAGGATATCTTTCTAGAGCAAATAACACAATTCTCTATTTGAAATGAGTATATAAAACACAACCTTTCTAGAGAGCCCGGGGTCACTTTTTTCTGTGCTTACCTCATAAAGATTAGTCCCCTTTTCAGCTTTCTACATTGTTGGATCTAATCTTCCAGGGCTAAGAAAACTGCAAAGCAGACCAGTAATACACTACAAGTCAAAGCTGATATTTTTGGCTTCGAGGTGCTGCCACAACTTTCTGGGGGCAGGTTAACCTATGGATGAGTAGAGGCCTTTGCCAGGGATTCTTCAGCCAGAGTGCATCAATTGACCTTAAACTCACGTTTGGGGTCATCATTACCCTGCCTGTGCAAGCACTTCCAATGGCAGCAGCTGACATGAAAAAAGCAAGTTACAGAACAGGATATATGTAGTATGACTCATGTTCTTATCAAATATAAGTATATGTGAACATGCAGACACACACACAGGGGCATGCATGCAGGTCTGAAAAGATTCATGGTAGCCATTTCTGGAGAGAGATGGAAAAAGTCCTCAAGGTAAAGCCAGAATCCCTGGGCTCCAGTCCAGCTGCATTGTTAGCTTGCAGCAGGACGTTGGACAAGTTCCTCTCATTTGAACAATGACAGGAGGACATATTCATTAAGGTGTTCCCGGGTTATGTCATCTAGAGTTCTTCCTCATTAATAAAGATGGTTTTAATTTTTTTTTAAATATATTTTATTGATTTTTTTTACAGAGAGGAAGGGAGAGAGATAGAGAGTTAGAAACATCGATGAGAGAGAAACATCAATCAGTTGCCTCCTGCACAGCCCCCACTGGGAATGTGCCCGTAACCCAGGTACATGCCCTTGACCGGAATCGAACCCGGGACCTTCCAGTCCGCAGGCCGACGCTCTATCCACTGAGCCAAACCGGTTTCGGCGGTTTTAATTTTTTTAAAGTTGAAATTTATTAAAAAGGGAATATATGCTCAATATAAAAAAAATAATCCAGTGATGTAGAATGGCAAGAGAGAAAATATAAAGGTACGTCTTAAATCTCTCTCCAGAAATGGCTACCATGAATCTTTTCAGACCTGCATGCATGCCCCTGTGTGTGTGTCTGCATGTTCACATATACTTATATTTGATAAGAACATGAGACATACTACATATATCCTGTTCTGTAACTTGCTTTTTTCATGTTAGTTCTAGAGATTTACCATATTTTTGTAATGGCCGCATAGTATGAATAATTCAGAATTTATGAATTTAACCATGAGATTTGAGAGTATTTAACTTTTTAAATATTTTAATTGATTTTTAGAGAGAGAGGGATGGAGAGGGATAGATAGAAACATCGATGAGATCAGTTGCCTCCTGCAGGCGCCCTACTGGAGATTGAGCTGGCAACCCGGGCATGTGCCCTGACCAGGAATCAAACCGGTGACCTCTTGGTTCCTGGGTTGACACTCAACCACTGAGTAACACCAGCCTGGTGAAAGTAATTTTAGATTGATACAAAACACAGGAAAGCTGCAAAAGCCATTCCAACTGTATCTCTGCACACATACATAAGTGCACCTAGAGGGAAAATGCTTTGAAGTAGAACTGCTCGTTCAAAGACTTTGTCAAATTGCCCTCCTAAAAGGTTTAACTAATTTATATGATTATCACAAAAGTGAAATTATAAAAGTATAACTTAATACACAGAAGACATATAAAAATGACCTTCCTGCCCCAACTCCACAAATACATGCTCATTGCACATTAATATTGAAGAGCTCAGTGATTTGAAGGAAAACATAAGGATGCTACATAAATATGTAGTCATATTCTCAGAAAGTTCTTAAAGTTTGTTCCATGGACCTCTGAGGTCCCTGAGGTCATGACTATTTTCATAATCATCCTCATATATTTTTTGCCTTTTTTACAGGGTTGATATTTGCACTATAAGGTAAAAGCAATGGTGAGTAAACCTGGCCCTAGAATGAACCAAGGCAGTAGCACCAAACAGTGCGAGGAATCAATAGATTCTTCACTATACAATAGCAGTGGAAAGAGAATTCCCGTTTTACTTAATGTCCTAGATCAGTGGTTTTCAACCTGTGGGTCGTGACCCCTTTGGAGGTCGAACGACCCTTTCACAGGGGTCGCCTAAGACCATCGGAAAACACATATATAATTACGTACTGTTTTGTGATTAACCACTATGCTTTAATTATGTTCAATTTGTAACCATGAAATTGGGGGTCACCACAACATGAGGAACTGTATTAAAGGGTCGCGGCATTAGGAAGGTTAAGAACCACTGTCCTAGATGAATATGGTAGGTATAACTCTAACATAGTTGCTAAGACTCCTGCCCTGCTGGTATACATACCCCATATAATCCCAGCCCTTTGAGTATGAGATGGACCATTTCACTCCCATAATCAGGTTATGACATATGGCAGAAGTGAAGGGATTTTGCCGGCTGAATTAAGATGCCCAATCAGTATGACTAAATTACACAACATGGAGAATATTATGTATGATTTAATCAAGTGAGCCCATGAAAAGAGTTGTTTAGGCCTTCCCTGGGCTGACATTAGAGAAAGCAGACTCTGATTCTCTTGCTGACCTTGAAGAAGTAGATACGAGTTCTATAACTGCAGAGAAATGAATTCTGCCAACAATCCTGAATGTGTAACTATATTGCCTTACACGGGAAAAGGAACTTTGCTGATGTGATTAAGCTAAGGACCTTGAGATGGGGAGATTATCCTGGATTATCTAGGTAGACCCAATGTAATTACAAAAGCAC